CCACCCGTGCAGACTAGATCGCGGGGAGATCCTCCCCTCCGTTGCTTTCCCCCCCCCCTCCCCCCCCGCGATGCCTCCCCCCCCCCCAAAAAAAAGCCTTTAATCCAGAGGTCTTCAAACTTGGCAACTTTTAAGACCTGTGGACTTCAACTCCCATAATTCAATTCAACTCTGTAGCTGGCTGAGGACTTCTGGGAGTTGAAGTCCAGAAGTCTAAAATAGGTTTACATTTGGGAGTTTGAAGACTTGTGGACTTCATCTCCCAGTATTCCTCAGCCAGCCAAACTTGGCCGTTTTAAAGCTTGGGAACTTCAACTCCCAGAATTCCTCAGCCAGCCGAACTGGGGAGTTTTAAGGCTTGGGAACTTCAACTCCCAGAATTCCTCAGCCAGCCAAACTTGGCAGTTTTAAAGCTTGGGAACTTCAACTCCCAGAATTCCTCAGCCAGCCGAACTGGGCAGTTTTAAGACTTGGGAACTTCAACTCCCAGAATTCAATTCAACCCTATAGCTGGCTGAGGACTTCTGGGAGTTGAAGTCCAGAAGTCTTAAAAAGGTTTACATTTTGGAGTTTGAAGACTTGTGGATTTCAACTCCCAGAATTCCTCAGCCAGCCGCACTGGGCAGTTTTAAGGCTTGGGAACTTCAACTCCCAGAATTCAATTCAACTCTATCACTGGTTGAGGACTCCTGGGAGTTGAAGTCCAGAAGTCTTAAAAAGGTTTACATTTTGGAGTTTGAAGACTTGTGGACTTCAACTCCCAGAATTCCTCAGCCAGCCAAACTTGGCAGTTTTAAGACTTGGGAACTTCAACTCCCAGAATTCAATTCAACTCTATCGCTGGCTGAGGAATCCTGGGAGTTGAAGTCCACAAGTCTTCAAACTCCAAAATTTGGCTGGCTGAAGTCCACAAGTCTTAAAGTTGGCAAGTTTGGGGACCCAACTTTAAACCATCATTTGCAAAAGGGATTAATTCAAAAGGAGCCCCGTTTCTCCCCACCACTCCCACCTAGTTGAGGAGCAGAAGGTTGTGGGAATTGGGGGGGGGGGGGTGTTGAGTGGGGGGGATGCCGGGTGAGTTTGGGAGGCTAGCATTAAAAAGGTTGTTTTCATTTTAATGTTCATATTTATCTTTTTTAAAGGTTTTATATAGTTGCCTTCAGACAGACTGCTTCGAAACCTGGAGGCTCCATTTCCCCAAAGGGAGCGAATAACAATTTTATCAACCGTCGCCCTTCTCTTTATTCAGCAATTTCAAAGTGTCATTTTGTTAATTCGTTAAATTGACACGCTGCCCCGCTGGCATTATTACAGCGACCCGGGCAAGAAGATAAAAAGGTTAAAAAAAAAACACAGACTGATACAAGATGATTACAATTATAATTAATTGTGGGCAAGAATAACCTGCTGGAATCCAGGCGGACAGCATGTTAATTTAATTTAATAAGTAAATAAATTAGCTGGTCTGAGCTGCATCCGATAGCCAGATACCACTTCAAGTGGCAAGGAAATTTATCAGATGGCATCTGACTTACTTAAACACAGATTTTCCTCTGGCTGTTGTGATTGCGGGTATTCTAAACCAATCGATCGATCAATCAGAATAGAGATGGAAGGGACCTTGGATGTCTTCTATTCCAGCCCCCCTGCTCAAGCAGGAGACCCTATAACTTTCTAGCTGACAACGCATATTCTTTTTTTTTCCCTTAAACAACTGAAGAGGTTTCTTTTAAGAGGTTTTATCTATTTATTTTTATAAATAACCCAAGGCAGCAAGAATACCTTATACTTCTGCCTCTTCCCTCCCACATAACAGCTGGTCGTAAGCCAAGACTACCTGTATTTTTTTAAAAAATTGTCGTATAGTATACCTTTTATTTTCACTGGGATTCTTCTGAGACTAAAAAAACAAACAACTCCAAGCAGATAAACGGAAGAGAGAGGAAACAGAAAAAAATAATAATAATTCCCACCTTCGTTTCATTTTAGCTCTCGGTCCTGTAAAATTGTGTACCAGAAACATGTCCTCATTCCTGCTTTGCCAGCATCAGAACTCACAGCCAAGGACTTAAAGAATCTCTCACGCCACCCCCTCCGGGAATCGGTCAGCCTTGCCTTCATTAAACTCCCCACTCCCCAATCAATGCACGAAAGACAAGTCCTCAATTGCATATCCGCACGTGAAGGAAATCCATCAGATGAGATTTGGGCAGTTCTACGTTAAAAAAAGGTAGAGGCTGTAACTGCCAGCGGGCAGTGGAGCTGGCAGCAGATTCAGAGAGTGAGGAGGGTTGGGGAGGAACCTGGGCCAGTCCTGGAGTCTGGGGAAGGCACTAATGAGAGCTCCGTGTCGGAGGTAGAGAAGGGGCCAGGGCCATCTGACAGTTATCAGTTGCCTTCAGAGTCAGACATCAGTGAGGCAGAGGAACAGCTGGAGCCTGTTCCCAGTGTGCTCATGCGCAGAGCAGCTGAGAAACCTGGGTTGACTTAGGAGAAGCCACAGGTGGACAGTGAATGGCCCCTCTCAGAGGACGTAAAAGAAGAGAGAAAAGAGAGTGGGGGCTTTTGCAGGAAACAATTCGTTCGTTCGTTTCAGGAGTGTGAAGATCTGTCCGTGAATCTCAGAGACTCTGTGCCCAAGTCTTTCCTTGCATTTGGACAATATTTCCATGGCAGCTTTCCAAGATAGATAAGGTCTGTGGTCATAAATATGCCTTTGCAAGACTGTTTGCCAGGCCTTGGCTGAATGTGAATGAGAGACGTTCACATTCGTTTAAGAAAAGGGGTTTTGCTGGGACCAGGAATCTGATTCGTGCTTTTTGGGGAAGCCTAGATAAGAACAGTACCTCTCACCGTGAACATAATTTAGTCTTTTTCATCTTTTTCTGCTTTTGGACGGTTGCGTCCTTAGGGGGTTTCGAATTCCCCGTCCGGGAGCCAAGATCGTCACCGGCTTTCCGTTTGGAAGCCACCACTTCCATGGAGTTCCATAATTCGTCGTCTTCCTCTTTCACCTCATCCTGCAGGTTAATGGACGGCTCCATATCCTCACTCTGCAAAGAGAAAATAGAGAGAAACAGATCAGCTTTGAATTTTGACCTTTAACAACCACTCAAAGTTATGACGGACTCCCGCAAAGCTACTTATGGGCAATTTTCAAAGGTATGATAGCTGTATGCACACACACACACACACACCCCACAGCCATGGTAACTCACCTCCCATTTTTCCCGGCTGGTCAGCAAGAGACAGTTCAATCGGGATTTGAGATAAACCTGGAATCAAGACAGCCTTGGTCAGAAAGGTTTTTTAAAAAAGGGAATGAGTTAAATTGAGGATTTCCTGTCTCTTGGGCAACGGCAACAAGCTTCAGATCCAACCTGGTTAAAGATAAAAGATTGGCGACCTGCAGCTCACACAGTTTCAACTCCTCCCCACAGTATCATTTGGAGTTAGAGGGACCTTGGAGTCTTAGTGGGCAATCACTCAAATAGGAGCCGGCGGTGTGTGCAGCAGCTCCAAAAGCTAACACAACCCTTGGTTGTATGAACGGAGGCACTGAATCAAAATCTCGTTGCAGTGTTAGTACCGCTTTATGAAGGTTTGAGTAAAGCTAGACCTGGAATCCTGCATCCAGTTATGGTCACGTTACAAAAAAAAGAGGTTGAAACTTTGGAAAAAGTGCAGAGAAGAGCAAATTAAGATGATTAAAGGCCTGGAGATTAAAACATACGGTTTGCAGGAATTGGGTTTGGCCACTCTAGAGAAAAGAAGGACTCGGTAGAGAGAAGGGGAAAAAAAGGAGTTTGGAAATGAAGCTAAAAAATAAGTAGACAATACACTGAGACACAGATATAAATAAGATGAAAACTGTTAGTATGTGTATGGTGAGAGTAATGTTTAATGTTGATATATTATTACTAGGAGATATTGTATATTATAACCTTTTAAATGGAATAACAAAAGTATAAGAATGGCAAAG